TTCTATGTTCTTGTTTGTCTATGTATGTTTTGTGTTTGTTGTAAAAAATAAAAAAAATTATTAAAAAAAAAAAAACCTTACAAGATTTCCACAATCTTCCTTTCCCCAAGATCTCACATGTCCTTGCCTGAAATCTCTTAAGATTTTTAATTTAATCTGACATTTATGACAGCTCCTGTTACATTGCTAAAAATGGTGACATGTATTGATTTTGTGAAATTTGGGATAATTTTAAACTGACTTTAATTTGGGGCATTGCAACTGATGTACAGAACTGCAGCAAACCTCTAAAGATAGGGTCTTCCAAAAATGCTTAGTCCTTTATTTTTTTAAAACAGTACTAATTTTTGTTTCTCTTTTCTTTTCCTCACCCCTTATATTTGGATGCAAGCAATTAGATTTTGAAAAGAAGAATCTATATAACCTAAAAGTAGAAGCTACTAACACTCATCCTGACCCACGATTTTTCTACCTGGGACCATTTAAGGATTCAGCTTTGGTCAAAGTGTATGTGGAAGATGTAGATGAACCACCTGTTTTTAATATACCATCTAATTTAATAGAAGTAGATGAAGATGTCAGGGAAGGAAGTATCATTGGGCAAGTGATAGCACAGGATCCAGATGCCACAAGGAACCTAATCAAGTAAGTTTGTCTTCCATGAACACCAGAAAACACTATTTTGAAAATATCTTATCTTGTCTATAAGGTGCATCAAAGTTTAGCAACATCTGTTTTTTTAATGTTAGTAATAATGACTGTTAAATATAATTGTTAGTGGCTATTAATTTCAGCAAGGATAAGTTTCCATTCTTACTGTATTACTAGTATATTTACCCTTTATCATTATATATTATATTAATATACCAGCCTGGACCCTCCAGAGTTTTTGAATTGCAGCTTCTATTCATTTTGTCTGGGTTACTAGAAAATGGTATTCAATGGTAACTGGAAGGCATCAGGCTGAGAAAGGTGGTATTTCACTAAAAAAGTCAGTTCTTATCCTGGCTTATTCAAATACACTCATTGAGTAATTTTGAGCCAGTCACAAATTCTCAATCCAACCTTCACTGATGAAATAAATCAAGGATGCTCCCCCACCCCCAATACCACTCTAACTTCTTAGGGCAGGACAGAATATACATATGGTAATACATTTTAAAGATGCAATTGGACTATTTTCCCATTAGCCAGCACTCCTCTCCTCTCCTCTCCTCTCCTCTCCTCTCCTCTCCTCTCTCATATCATTTCATCTCCTGGCTCCTGGATTCAAGCCATCTATTGCTTCAGTGCTCCTTCTGGAGCTTCAACCTCCTCTTCTTGTACTTTCTCTCCCCCTCCCCCAAGCCAGCTGTTGTAGCAATTTGTAACACTGGTCAAAGGTACTGAGTAAAGCACCTGATGGTAAAATTGTCACCATGCTATCATTTTGCCTTCACAGTCACAGGGGCCTTTAAAAGCACCATTTAAAAATGGTGGCAAGGCAACCAGAAAATCTTTGGAAGATGTTTATTACTTTTATTCTGTATTTTTTATAATAACATAGCTTTGCTTCAAAGCATGCACTCAAATTTTATTTCATCTGTCAGAAAAATGCACACAATTGCATGTACTGAATATTATGGGGGAAGGCACTAGCAATTTATTTTGTTTCAGGTTTGGGGTAGAGGGATTGAAGTGATTTTCGTTATTCCACTAGTTCCTGAAGTATAACACTGATTGGATAATTCATTATTATTTATCCATTTTCTTATATTTAGAAGGCTGCTCAACTCTGAAATGACTCTGGGTGGCCTGCTTGTTAAAAATATTTAAAAAATAAACAAATACAAGGGGAAAACATATAGCATAATAAAGAAAAGGATGTTGTTGTTCTTTCTCCAGTCCCTTATTGGTTAACTAAAGGTAAAGCAAAAAAGTGTGGATTTGTCCATAAAGTTGGTAGAAATAAAGAAAAATGTGGGTCAGATTCAAACTTCATTTCCAGGGATTGGGGATGAAAACATGGTGGTATGGAACTGCATAAATACAGTGACAAAATTGGCTGTATAGTTTCTCTGCAAAAGAGGCTTCTGTTTTTCTTTTTCATTCACAGGATGCTTGAGAACTTATTTTGTGCCTAAGTTGGCAGGGGGTGCTGAGGCTTTAACTTTTTGGGGGGTTATATAATCTGCTATTCCTCTGCAGACTCTTCATGTTTGCTGATACGTCAAAGCTCCATGTGACAAGTTTGCTCACGGTACCTTACTCTGGGGAATGGCTAATGTGCAGAAACTCAGGGAGATTGTAGACCAGACATTCTCATGTACCTCTGGAATCTTTCTTCTCCCTCTGGGAGGGGGGGAAATCAAAACCAATTTATTACTTATCACATTGAAAGAGAATAGCTGGAAAGAAAATGTCATCTAAATGTGCAGCATGGGGCACGTGAAGAATTTTGAAGAATCCTCAGTTAAAGACAGCTTTATTCAAATCTCCTTTAGTTTTATCACCAGAGGAGTCCCTAATACATAATCCTTGTCTACTGATTAGGGGTAGTTAAAATTATTGCAATAAATACACTTACATGTACTATTAAATTGTGGGCACCGTTTTTTTAAAGTTAGTTTTCATGTTGTTTTCATGTTGTTTTTCTTTCTCTTTTTGAAATGTTAAAGTATTATTGATATACTGTTTGTATTATTTAAAGAAGAAAGCAAAACTTTAGACAGATCGATCCTGATCTACCAATCAAACTTATACCATAAATGTACTTAGTAAAAATACTGACTCCCCTGCTAGGGATGGACTGGAGTTTTGATCAATGTTACAGGATTCTAGCCAGAAAAGAAAGCAATCTCCCAAGTCTGGCCTTTGATAGCACGGTTGTGGTTTGTCTAAGCGCTGGCTTCAGAAATGACATGATTCAGTCTGGATGCAAGTTCTAAAACAAGGAATAATTGTCACCAAAAAGAGGCTAGTATTTCACTTCATTCAGTTGGGCTTGGATTAAATATGAATCACAGAAGAATTTTCACCTTGCCACCACCACAAGCCCACCAGGCATAAGAAGTCTTAAAAATAACAACCATATGTGGTAAAATTATTGGAAACTACCTTGATAACTTATTAATCTCAGCTAAATAAATAACTGCTTTATTTTCTCCAGATTTGTAAGGTAACGGGCACTGTTTTTAATCTATCTCAGTCTGACTCATCACTTCTTACATTTTATCATTAGTTTGCTTAATGAAAGATGGAAAAGAAACATTGCAAATATTCACCTACAATAAAGAAACGACTTAGGGAAATGTGTTAAAAAAAAAAAAAAAGTTGTGGCACAATTTCCCTCTCAGGGTTCTCAGAACCTCAGGAAATTCCCCACCAAAACTGAGCTTCTCATCTTGGACCTGACTTATAGTTTGGTTCTTCAGAATGTAGCTTTCATTAGAATGGAAATTCTGGTCATCTGAACTGTTTCCTAGAGTGCATCTTTTACTGTTTCTATATCTTGCCATTGAGCCATGAGCTATATCGTGCAGGGCCACCCAAGACGGACAGGTCATGACAGAGAGTTCTGACAAAATGTGGTCCACTGGAG